TTGTTTTTCGTGTCTGTGGTTTTTCTACGGAGCCCCTAAAAGGACATGGGGGGGAAAAAAGAAACGTATCTAGTGCTCACGAGATACTTTCTCGTGAGCACTAGAAAGTATTTCTAAGACATTTTTCCACACATACATACAGGGTAATACATACATCATGTACAGTACGTACGGTTGGGAAAATTAAGATACCGGCATGTCATGCGTGACATATGTACTGTATATATGGTGAGCATTTAATTAATGTAGGATACCTCAGTTAGACACAGGAGGGCACTGTATAGTTGTTGTTGTTGTTCTACTGTTGATAACAGTGTAGGGAGGTTCGTGAAGGGTAAATACGTATATACGTAAAATCATCCTCATCCTTCATCCTCCTCGTCCTTCTGAGTACGCATACTAATAACAATCTCATTTACTGAGCCCAATAATTGTAAAATCTTACCATGCCTCAAGCCAAGCATAAAGTACTCTCATTCAACTGAATCGTCGAAACGCGCTATATTCGTGGTTCGCAGCTGGACTTTCATCATTTCATTAAGTTTTATTTATAGAGCGCATTTCATGCACAAAGCAAACTCAGTGTGCTCTACAGACGTCACGAAATACACTGGCCCCTCTCCTATCGCAGTCGTTGCGATAGGAGGGCACAACAACAGTGCCCTCCTGTGTCTAACTGAGGTATCCTACATTAATTAAATGCTCACCATACAGTATACTATACAGTACATACAGTATATCACGCATGTCATGCCGGTATCTTAGATTTCCCAAACGTACATGATTTTTTAAAAATGTCTATTACCCTGTATGTATGTGTGGCAAAATGTCTTAGAATACTTACTCGTGCTCATCTCGTGAGCACGAGAAAGTATTTCACAATTACAAAATAGAGTTGTGTGAATGTTTAGGTTAAATACCTAATATGCATACAAAACTATCGAATTTGGTACACATACTCTTGAAGGGGTTACATGTAGAAAATTGTACGCCTGTGTATATATTGTGCTCAGAAGAGATGCATATTTGGACCTGATCACAATTGTGACCGCTGGATAAATACATTGTCAAGAATTCCTATAATGAGGCCTATTCACACACTGAAAGTAGTTATGACAATATCCACTAAGTAGAGAATCATGAGATACGGTTAGGTTTATTATGCATATCCTTATTCTGTAAACAAATGTTGAAAAGTATTCAATATATCTCTATGGACAACATTTCCGTTTTTACTGTCTAAAAACAGACTATGTATGTTCCCAGTGGTCACAATTGTGACTGATTATAAAACTTAAAATTTGAGCAACTTAACCAACATACAATGAAAGAAAGACATGTTCATTAGAGAGGTCTAAAGAGTAAAATCTATGTACTAAACTTTTCAGAAAAAATCAGGATTAAATGGGTTAATCCAATCAGTGTGTTTAAGGTTGTGTGTGTGACTGTGTGTGGTATGTGTGTGCACAAGTGTTGCGGTTGTTGTTCTAGTGTTGATAACAGTGTAGGGATGTTCGTGAAGGGTCATCCTCATCCTTCTGAGAGAAGGCATACTAATAAAAATCTCATCCACTGAGCCCAATAATTGTAAAATCTCACCATGCCTCAAGCCAAGTACGAGTACAAGTACAATTCAACTGAATCGTGGAAACGAGCCATATTCTTGGTTCGCAGGTGGACTTTCATCATTTCATTAATTTTATAGAGATAGATACACACACACACACACACACACATATATATATATATATATATATATATTATATAGATACATTATTTATAGAGCGCATTTCATGCACAAAGCAAACTCAGTGTGCTCTACAGACGTCACGAAATACACTGGCCCCTCTCCTATCGCAGTCGTTGCGATAGGAGGGCACAACAACAGTGCCCTCCTGTGTCTAACTGAGGTATCCTACATTAATTAAATGCTCACCACATATACAGTATACAGTACATATATCACGCATGACATGCCGGTATCTTAGATTTCCCAAACGTACATGATTTTTTTAATGTCTATTACCCTGTATGTATGTGTGGCAAAATGTCTTAAAAAATACTTTCTCGTGAGCACGATATACGTTATGCTTTCATTTAAAATCGTAAAATAAACTATGTTCAATTTCACATGATCGCAATTGCATTTCGTTTCTTTCAGCTTAAGTCCAAGGAATTGAATAAAAACAGAATGTTAACTTGTGTTTTTCATCACACTAAATGCCCACAGACCTGTGATGTTTAGATAACAGACCCTTAACAACCAAACTACGCCTGACCCTAACTCTGTCATGGCTCTTATTCATACAGCATTTGTCATTTGTTAAGATACAACAAACTCCATTTTCCTCTTGTCAGTAGGTGACTTCTGTTTCATTTGTCAAGTTGAAAATTAAATATTTACACTTTGTTATAAAACTCATGTATTACATGCACAAACCCTCCTGTTCCTCAGCCCAGTTCTGGTCTCCGACCCGGTGATTGGGCACCTCAGCAGAGATGGCTGAATTAAGAACTTAATAAAATAAAATAACCTTTAAATGTTAAACTGATCATCGCCCCGTAGGTGAAGTGACTTTGGACGTTATTATTGAGAAGGTCGTAACATAGTTTGGTTAAAGTGTTCAGCAGTCGATATCGTTATTTACATTTCGTTGTGACCAATGGCAACAAAACAATTTCCCTGATCGCTGTAGAAACAAAATCGGCAGCAACATGTTACAGGGCAGATTGAGCCACAGAGCAGAGATCAGAATATAACAGCCTCCAATGTAACCCAGTACACCTGAATAGTCTAGGGCAATGCAAACAGTGATTCCTATAAAATACAGCCAGATGATTGCTGTGATGATGGTTATCATGTTGAACGCCTTCTGCTTGAATTGGTCGACCTTCACTCTGTGTCCCGGAGCATCACCCGGCCCTGGATGAATCAGAATGCACAGAACACGGATGCTACAGAAAGAGGCGATAATGAAGCATGTCGTCAGTAACAAGAAATTCAGAATGACTGGAGGGTTGGGAAACTGACGATGAACTAGACCGATCCATACAAAACTCTGCAGCCAAACGCAGCCGAGGCTTATGTTTCTGACCCGGACCCCACCTGACTGTTTCAGCCTCCGGTAGGTGACAGGGTGCACGACAGCGAGGTAGCGTTCTATGCAGGTCAGGATGTGTAGTAGAGTCTGTGACGGTATGTCAAAACAGGACAGATAGACGCCTACCATCCAGAGTCCTGACATTCCCAGGAGAGCACCGCAGTGGAAGAGAACGATTCCCACAGTACTGAAGAGATCAAATGCCAACTTGTGGTATACAAATATGTCGGCGTGGCTGATTGTTGCGAATGAGCGCTGCTGTCTCCATCTCTGATAACCAAGGTGAACGACAACGATGGAGACGGGAGCGAGAAGCAAAGATCTAACGATCATGTAAGCAGTGGAGAGGAAAACTGCATTAGTGCCCTGGCAGTGCATCATACCCAGAGCCGTGGAGTTGGACACTGTAGTTTTTGTGTTGTCACTGTAATAGGGGAAAAATAAAAACAGTTGATTCTTGTAATTATGAGAATGAGAATATATAAAATACAATAACGATAATTAAATTTTAAATTAATGACAATAAAGTTGAAACGAGTTGACACATTTTTTTATTACTGTAGTCCTGGGATATTAAGAAAATGTTAATTACAATTAATCGTGATTAATGCAAATCGACTCATGTTATAGAATGGTCTTTGACCTTCCCCTTCTTCTTAGTGCAGAAAGAAATCCAGGCCTGAATTCTAACTGAGTGCTGTACCATGGATGCAGTTTCCAAAATCAGACCTGGATCCCTCTGGTTTTGTGACTCTGCCCATCCATGGTACAAGGTCGTCCTCCGAAAGAGCTACCATGATTAACTGTGAAGTAATCAACAGCTGCTATTTGTTGAAGCAGATTAAAATGTAACTGTTTTGACAGCAAATCGCACACTTTAAAGATGTTATATATCCTATGACTTTGTCATGAGAAACCCTAGAAGTAATTCACCGAAAAAACAGTCACCCTCATTTGAAATTGGAATAAAATCAACATCCATAGATCTAGGTCTTTAGGGCCGTTTTCCATAAAAATAACAGCAGATACTGTATATGATGTTTTTAAGCCAACGGTATATAATTCCGGAAGAACCACAATCAGATTCTACAATTTAACATAAAGACAAATAACATTAAAATACACCCACCTCGCCATCATAGTCCTTGAAGAACAGTCTGACTCTTTATGGCCAAAGCGACGAACAGGCAGCAGAATTTGTTTGTTCATCCTGTCAAATTAATGGATGACTTTGCAAATGTTTTGGTTCTCGCTTTTATTCAACCACACACGGAAAATCCATTCCCTCCATGAAATGGAGGACCATACACACGATTTGTTGTGTTTTGGGGCTCATTTGGTTACAAGCATCCACCTTTATTCCACCTGCTTGAAAGGATTCAAATCATAAACAAAGGATGTGATCAGTATATACAAATGAGTTCGAGACAGATACAAGGTCAGAAACCAGAACAGTTTCTGGTTTAGGTAATACTGTGCTTAAAATACACTTTCTGTTATATCTTTTTTGAAGAATAATATACATGCAATACATTCTTCATTATCGCCATTCATTTTAATAATAAAAGCTTAACACTTGTTGAGATGAAATGGGAAAAGACTCTTTTTTTCAACCTGCACATTATTTTTAATTGAAGTGGCCCGTTTTAACGTGACGTGGCTTCTTGCATCCATTTATTAAGCTAGATGAAATTAGCAGGACAGCTGCTTCCGGTTTAAGAGTAAGCGAATAGAAAATTAAAATTTTCAATCTGGTTGTATTGTATCTGAGGTATTCAAAATATTATGATATTTCGAAATTAATATATGCCGATTTTAGACATAACTGGGATTGTGACACGCGAGGCCTCCCTTCTTCAACGCGACGTTATATGCTTTGTTTTGAAAAGAATAAAGCAGAAGTAGCTGTGGTGCTAATGGTTAGCGACGAACATCTCGGCATCTTTTCCTCTTCATCTTGACAAATACTCGTGTGTTCTTTCGGTGACAGAGAGGATGCGGTACGAGCCACCTCCATTAACCATTTATAGCAGCATGAGCGTCAACGACTGATTTTTAAATACGACATACTACTCAGGTAAGTGAGGTTTAAACACAGTTTGACACGATATGAATGTGCCAGATGCCTGGTTGACAGATGTTGCTAACTAGCATAGCACAGCTCAGCTCACTGACATCTCTCTGCAGCACAAAGACTTGACTCCAGTTCGTCTACTGATGACTGTATGTACTGACTTCAGCCTTTGCTTAATTGTAAGTAGTTTTTTTTTTTTTAATCTATAATTTTGTGTGCACAACCCGCGAACAGATGATACAGGTCTGCACCTGTATCATCTGTTATTTAGGCCCTGTGTCCAGGTGTAATCCTACTATAATATGGATTCCAAGTGACGCATTTGAACTTCAGCTGCTAAACCCAACAATTGTCGCTAATTGAGTTTTCAAGTTTTGATAAATGACCATAAATAGTATTCATTTAGTTAGTGCTTTTATTTGCTAAGGTGTTGACGTGTCATGATATAATGAACTATAATGACTTTTTTACTTGTTCTAGTAGAAAAAGTATAATCCAAGACTTTTGTAAGTTTGTTTTGTCCTTTGTGTCATAATTTCAGTTGTAGACTATGCAACAGAAAGAAACTGAAAGAAAATGAAGGAGAGGCTGCTCCGCGGATTGCTCTCGGAGATCTCCATGCGGATGCTTTTGTTAGTGGTTTTCCTGTAAGTACTAGCAGCATATTTGTCATCTTTACCAGTGCTTTGTTGATCCGTTAGTAAGAATGTAAAAACCTGACTTATTTATATTTTTCTTTTTCTGTTTTTCTATTTTTCGCTGGAAATTTGTGGTTCATTTAGAGTGACCGAGCAGCTCCCTCCCTTCAACCGGGAGATCCAGGCAGAGGAGATGTGGCTGTACAAGTTCCATCGTGTGGAGCGAGACCATGTACCCACCTCTCTTATGTTTGTAAGTAGTGTGTAGTTATGTTTCCAATTTAAACTGGGATTTACTCTCTTTTATACTTGTCTAAGTCCTCTACTTTATTTCATTAGCAAACCAAGACAAACCTACAGCTTTCATGACGTGTCAGTGTGGTCGTTTGGTTGCCTAATAAGGCAATGTTTTTCATCCCTGCTTTTGTTGTTGTAATGTATGAAAAATGAAAATTCTAAAATCTTATTGATCTTCATTCAGACCTGCTGATCAGGATTATTTTTTCGTCCCTCTCTCAGTTCTTGCGTCCACATTTGTCTTTGCTGGTGCTTCTCAAATTTCTCTCGATGACTGTTTGAAATTCACAGTGTCAGATTTTGTCTAAATGCAGTTCTAAGAAAGCATTAAGACATGGAAATGAACTTCTTAGATTCATGTATTAGATCTCTGTTAGTTTACAGTGACCTTGGCGATCTCACACTTCTTCCAGGATTTACCTGTGAAATGAAAATTGGTAGAGTGGTGTTGAAGTAGGGTTTCTGTCTGCATTGGAGGAAGTTGCCGGTTTGAAACCATCTAGCCCTTAAGGCTAACTGTTTTGGGTAGAAATAGGCATCTGGCCTTAAAGCTATTAAATCATGGTGCAGACTTAAGATATGGTGACCTCTCAAAAAAGGGTTCATCTGAAAGCCATGGATTCAGTATATAAAATAAAAACATGGTGGAGGGAAAAAGACGATTTTCAAAAGTCCATTCTTAAACAACAGGCATTGATGAGCCTTTAATTTTTCTCTTTTTTTTAGAGTGTAGCTGTCTTCACCCCATTGATTGTAATCCTGGTTTTCACTTTCATGAAGAAGTCGGAGCAAGGAGACCTGAGAGAGGCCTCTCTGGGTGGGTATCAGGAGTGCAGCATTAAAAACTTTGAACTCCTGAAAAGGCTTATCTGAGTATCAAACATCCTGAAATGGTTCAGACCAAATATTTGGTTTTCTCTGTTTTGCTGACTTAATTCAATTCAATTTTATTTAAATAGCACATTTCATACATAAGGCAAACTCATTGTGCTTTACAGTGGTTTAAACCATTAAAATATCAGGAGAGCAGGAAGCAAAGAAAGAAGCAGTAACAGTGGTGAGCGCCCCCTGCCCTTATGGACCCTCGCATCGGCTGAGGAACAACTCCCATGAAAAAAACCTTAATAGGGTTAAAATAAAGGAAGAATCCTCAGGGTGACAGACAGAGGAGGGGATTCTCAAGGCGGGCAGTAGCAAAACAAACTACAACTTTTTTTTTTCAGTTCTAGTTTTCAGTACAGATGAGGCAGGAGTATGGAGGGTGTGTGGATCCAGAAACAGAATCCAGCATCCATGGGGTCTAGACTTAGAGCCAGAGTTGTCACTAGCTTGTTAGAGTTCAAGTCAAGAGTCATTTCACAATAGTCAAACATTTTGAAACAGAACATCTACAACAGAAGAAACTACTGTCATGATTTTTTTTTTTTTTGACCATCTCGGCCATGTAATAACACAGACTGCTGCCTAAACGTCAAGTTTTAACTGGTGACTTTTGATACTTCTGTCTTTCTCTCTGTCCTCCAGCTGTGACTTTGACTCTGGTTTTGAATGGAGTTTTCACCAATGTCATCAAACTGGTGGTAGGCAGGTAAACACAACATCCAACGCAGTAAATCAGCAGACTGACTGTAGTGAAGTTACACTGTGTTAACTCCTCCCTTGTCCTCTCAGGCCTCGGCCAGATTTCTTCTACCGCTGTTTCCCAGATGGTCAGATGAACCTGGAGCTGCGCTGCACTGGTGACCCAGATACTGTTATGGAGGGCAGGAAGAGCTTTCCCAGTGGGCATTCCTCCTGTAAGAAAGCCTCTTGTGTCTTATTATGTCTCTAGCTGCCTTAATATCATCAGTTCTCTGAAACAAAATGTCATGTTGTTAAAAATTCTACAACTCTGTTTAGTTAGAGTTCTATTTAAGCTTTAGTTTTTATGTTTTTTTAATTTGTTTTTTTTTCCTTTTCTTTCTGTGGAAACAGTTGCCTTTGCAGGTCTGGGGTTTACAGCCTTGTACGTGGCAGGAAAGCTGCGCTGCTTTAATTCTGTGGGTCAGGGCAAAGCCTGGAGGTTGATTGCCTTCCTCATGCCCCTGCTGGTTGCCACTTCAATTGCCCTCTCTAGAACATGTGACTACAAACATCACTGGCAAGGTCAGCAATCACACAAAAGATGATTATTTTTAAAGAGAAAAGAGAAATAGATGTTCACATAACCTTTATATATACTGTTGTTTCCCAAAGACTGGGTTGCGACCCTCAGGTGGGTCACAAGAGATTGTTTTTGGGTTGTCTCACATCATGTTTCCTGGGAGTTTACGAATAATGTCTATTGACTTGGGTCGAGAAAGTTTGTGACTTTTTAAATATGGGTCCCAAGAAAAAAAGTTTAGGAAACACTGCTGTATACTGTTACTTTTAAGAGAAAAGAAAAATTCCCCACAGCTGAATAATTAACATACCTGAAAAATTTGAACCACAAACGTATAATATGTGCAATATATGTAATGGAAATGGTAATATTGTGTTGAAGAAGAACCAGCATTCCCAGCACACAAGCAGAAAAGGTCAAAATCTACGTTGGCCGTCTCTTGAGCCAGACGACTAACACCTGCTGCTCTTGTCCTCCATCTGTTTTGTTCTAGACGTTCTGGTGGGTTCTCTGCTGGGCCTTACGTTTGCCTGGCTGTGCTACAGACAGCACTACCCTCCACTGCAGGATCCTGACTGCCACAGACCTCTGCGTCACAGAAAGACTGTTCCAGCCGCTCAGGAGCGCAAGTTGGCCAACTCCAACTACATCCTGCCGTTGTAGACCAAACCAAACCCCTCAGTATGTGAAATATATACAGGGTTACTTCATGATTCTAACTCTGGTTTAAACACCTGTCACAGCTGGGCAGCCAATCAGTATATACTGATGAGTATTTTTGACCTTTGTAGCTAGAATATGTATAGTCTGTTCTCTGAACTGAAGTAACAACCGTTGTTCACTCCTGTGGTTTCTAACAAAAACTACCAGCCGATGGTAACTGACGTCATGTGACAAACCTTCCAAACCTGTTGAAAATAGTTACTGGTACTTCCATCGTTGTAGGTGTTCTGTTTGTCATTGTTTTTCCTTGCGTTCCAATTCCACATTCCTTAAGATGCAATACATTGTAGTGATTAAAACCATTTATTAATTAAAACTGGTTTTAATGTAATTTAAATATGCATTGCTTTAGATAAGATGTTTACACAATATGTTCAGCAAAAAAAAAAAAAAACACAGGCAACAGTCTTATATTCTTTCACTTGCCTCACACGAATGAAAAGAATAATTCTGTCAATCTTTTGTTGCCATGATTGACATCTGTAAGAAAACATTTTATAGAACTAGCTCTTTTATTCCAAACCAAGTGGTTGCTGTAGAGCTGAAACCTAAAGCATAAAGGCATTAAAATCACAATCATTACTGCAGTAGAAAACATCACTTACACTCCACCATATGCATACTAGTGAAAAAAAAACGGTTTAGGTTAAAATATATCCCAATCAGACATTTCTGTTTTTGGGGTTTGATAAGAAATATAGTTCTTCTTGAAAGGAATGTACTTAATGTATCATAATTTACCTGTATACAGTGTTTTATTTGCTGTAAATTAGTGTATATTTACTTCACATATGATGAGGTTAAAACTGTCTTCTGGAACTATCAAAGAGCTTCTTTACAGATGCCTTCCAGATCTGTTCTACTCTTCCTATAATAACGTTATGACCTGGAACAGTGACACAGACAGTTTAAACAAAAAAGCACCAACATTATTTATTTCCTTTATCCCACAGTAGCTAATTCAAGAGGAAATGGGTAGAATGTGAATACTGTATGGTGGGCTTATTGTAAAAGGAAAACACGTATCACTACTATATGATTTATGTCATTACTGTTGCCCTATGTTGTCCTGGACAAACATGTAGGACACTGTTTTAAATCCTTAAATCTATGAGAGGGATGTAAAGCACAATCCTGGGTACAACGCCAACATGATGTACTGTAGTAACTCTTCCAGCTCCGCAACCGATGCATTTAAACGTCACCTGTCGTCTTTGGCGGTAGAGCTGATGTAATTTAACCTTTGTATTTTTTACGTCAGTGCTCTCAGGCCCACTCACTACATCCCTTGTTGTTCTGTTGTGTTTGTTTTTTGTTCGACGAGATGCACAATGTTGTGTGTACGTACTGTTTTGGGGGGTCTGTGCAAACCTTCAAAGGCAGATGTATACGCATACTTGATATGATAAAGCTGCAAAAAGGGGAATAAAGGGCAAGTATGGGCATGCCTAAAACTCTTGCACATCATTGTACAGTCATCTGACCGTTCTAGAAAGGGTCATGTGACTTGTGCAGGCAGTCATGGTCCAATTTTTTTTTTCTTTTGTCAGATCGTAGTAAATATATTATACTTTGTTCTTGGCTTTATTTTAAATCAAAAACACATGTGCTGGTGTTTTACAGGGTGAAAGTACTGTATGCTTGAATCAGTTGTAAACACAAAAGCCGGTGACAGTGGTTTTTGACCATACATAAAAGAACATAGATGTGTGCCTTTATTTATATCATTGTTCACTCTCTCTGTGAATGAATGAAATATAATTTGCATGTGACATTATTTGACTGTGTATTGGACTCACTTGGTATTTAAATATGGCTTGCTGTATCAGAAATTCCAGAATTTTCCATGAATGTACTTAATAATTAATGTAAAGGTATCAGCATGGAAAGTGTGACGTATATTGAAACTGATATTTTGTCTTAGTTTGAACGTCAGTGTTGATTATGTACAGGTACTTGGTGTTATTTGGGCGCATATGGGAGTTTACTTGTTTTTTTGTTTTTTGTTTTTCATTTATATTTTTCCTTAACTGTGATGCAAGTTTATTCAAACACACAGTATATTTGACATGGCCTCAGGGTCTTCTGTGGCACATCTAGGATGAAAACATGTTGATCCTACATGTGTCACAACTGTACGCCATACCTGTATTTTTCTCTGTCTGCCTCTGTTTGTATTCTAAGTAAACAATATGGCATAAAATATTTCTTATCACACATAGCCTTAAAGACTGTTATTTAAAAAGTGAATTATTTTTACATTTCAACTTAATAAGCAACCTTTTCAAGCAAATCACCTTTACACAAATGATTCCTATATTTTGTAGTTGTTTTAAAATATTACCTAGTATAATTCCTTATGATATTAAAACTTATATCAGATTCCAACACAATTCCTTTGTTTACTAATATCTAGACATTATTCGTGCGCTTGTAGTTTGTTTTTGTTTTTTATTTAAGATATATTACTAAATGCTATTTTATACGAGTTTTTTAAGTTTGTTTTTAAAACGTGCTAAGGACTCTCAATTAAATATCAGTTCATTTTGTAGATAAATAAATAAATTATGTCTGCTTTCTTCCAAAGAAAGCCTTTAAAATATAATTTTTAGGGGTAGCTTTTTTTAGATTAGCTCTCAAAACCTTTGACGTGTTTAACGTAATGACGTTGCTACGCGTTCGACGTACCTCCTCTTTGATTGGTCGAGTGTGACGTGAACATTTGGCGCCAGTTTTTCCACCAGCGGAAAGCTATTCAGAGCTGACAACAAACAGACACGTCCCTGTTCACGTCGCTGTAGTTTTATAGTTTTTAATTCTATCGTCTTGTCTCCTGTTCAAGGGTTTTAACATGTTCGTCACGGACATTAGAAAGGAGTTTTATGAAGTCGTTTCTAACCAGGTGAGATTTCGCTTTTTCGCTAACACTCACACTTGTCTGTGTATGAATAGGTTGTATTTATTCACTGTTTTGTCCTTCGTCGTTGTTGTGAATTGCGCCTTGAAATGTCACTAAATTTGTAAACTAGTTCCACGTTTCTTAAATAAATGCTATATGTAAGTATATAAGTATAACGATATTTTCGTAAAACTATGTTACTGTCTTTTACCTGACATTTAAACCAGGCCCAGAGGAAAAGCTGGTATCCAATGAAATTGATGGTAAAAAATGTTATTAGCCCAAACGCATGTTTTGTTTTGTTTGTATGTTTTTTGCGTGAATAGTAACAGTGGCTTTTCTCTAATATTCACTTGTTTCTTTGAATTTATCTTTTTAAATGCGAATGTTTCAATTTGTTTCGCACAGTTAGTTAACAGTAAATTATCACTAAATATGAACATTTCAAACAGGGAAATACTAGTCAGCTATTTGAAAAACGTAATTGACAGTTTTGTCTAGTTAATCCGTTAACGACATAATGCGCTGAATAGGTCAACGGTTATTTTTATAATTCATAAATGTAACCATTTAGTTAAGATTTGTAAAAGATTTGTAAAAAAGATAAGATTTAGACGGTGCCAAAAAAATAAATAAATAAAATTATTACAATGACGATAATGAGTGTTTATTTGTCTGGAGAATATAATATCATTCAACCAAAATAAAAAATAAACTCCACTGAGTGGAGTGTATTTGTTCACCTTTACAAGATATTTATAAATTGTTGCTGTGGTTTCAGAGAGTTGCTCTCCTGGTTGCATCAGACATTGATGCACTGTGTGCCTGTAAGATACTGCAGGTAAGAGCCACACTCAGCTCGTCACAGACATTCATTTACTAATGTTACGTCTTTATTTGTCAGTGGGAGACTAACGGTCAATTGTTGTCAATCTACCAGGCGCTGTTTCACTGTGACCAGGTCCAGTACACACTTGTGCCCGTGACTGGCTGGCAAGACCTGGGCACTGCCTTTTTTGAACACAAGGAGCAGGTACGCTAATAAAAAACAAATCCTAGCATCTGTTGAGAATTACTGAGGTGTTTCACATGTCTTCACTCTGCTAACTGTATTGTATTTTTCAACTGTATTATATGTCAGTTCAAATACTTTGTGCTCATCAACTGTGGGGCTAATGTTGACCTGCTGGAGATGCTGCAGCCAGGTGACGACTCAGTCTTCTTCATCTGTGACACTCACCGTCCTGTAGATGTCATCAATGTCTACAATGACACACAGGTAATTTTTTTTTTGCTCACATTCAGCCAGTTATGTTTGTAAGAAACACCCACGTGTATTGACGTAATGATATCTCTATCACAGATAAAGCTGCTCATCAAACAGGACGATGACCTGAGCGTGCCAGCATATGACGATATTTTCCAGGATGATGACGAGGACGAAGAAGGAGGCGACTCTGGAAATGAGAGTGATGGAGGCTCAGAGCCGTCTGGCAAACGGAGAAGATTTGACGAAGTAAGAAATCTGACTCAAATTGATTTGTATAAAGTTGACTGTGATTGCGGTGTCACTGGTCTCATGTCACCACAGGGGGCGTTAGAGAGGAGAATTGACAGACAGAGAGCCAGGAGGGAGTGGGAAGCACAAAGGTGGCTATTTATTTATTTTGAAGCTGTAGAATCTGTTGTCCAAAATCTCTGAAACTAAAGCAATGTTAAATTAATTTCTTAGGAGGGACATCCTGTTTGAGTACGAGCAGTATGAGTACCATGGGACGTCGGTAAGTTCTTTTATCTTTATTTTAAACCATTCCCTTTGTTTTGCTAACAACCCATATTTTCCACCTGTGTGGTTGTAATTTGGCAGATGTCCACGTTCTTTTTACTGACATTTAATGTACATTTCATTTTGGTGCTTTACTTTGAAAGTTGTTGGATTTTAATGTGTTGTTTTATGATTTTTTTTGGTTTCTATTCTTTTAAAACAAACCTGTTTCACTGAATAGCAGGCGCATTGTTTTGAAAAAAATATCTAACAAAAACTGCTCCACCAGGGCTTTGCACACATTTGAATTTGTTATGTACTGAAAAATAAACTTATTATCCTATTCCATTTCTTTCAAAGGCTGCAGTGATGTTTTTTGAACTTGCGTGGGTGTTAACCAAAGACACCAAGGACATGCTTTGGTAAAACACAAAGAAAAAATAAACTTGAGTTCTATTAGAAACACTAGTTTGCTGTTTATAACTTCAAATGTAATGTTTTCTTTTTACAGGTGGGCCATCATTGGACTGACAGACCAGTGGGTTCATGATAAAATCACACAGTAAGAAATCCCTACAGTAATAATATTTAAACTTAAAAATACCCAACAGAGTTCTTTTTTTTTCTTTTTCATTTTGACAGATTTACATTACACATTAGTGACGAATCATCAGATCTACCATGAAAAACAATCAAATTCCACTTAAATGGCCTAAAAACTATTATATTTTTAATACTGCAAAAATGTTCATCAATGGGACAGTAACAGGCAGAATGATTAAATATCAACCACTAGGTGGCAGCAGATGGCTGAGACAGACTCGGTGTAGTTGAATTAGATATAAATCAGTATCTTTCTTCAATTCCTGAGAGTGAATCAGCCCTTTGTTCAACTAAACAGGCCCTGGGATTTTAGTAAATGGATTGACTGAAAGGATACGATCATATTGTGACCTTTTTTAATGGTGTGTTGTGGGATTTTTCTTAACCCTCCCGATGTCCTTCGCAATTTTGTACACACCGTTTGTCCTTGCAATTATTTTCATCTTGTCCCAGAATATGAGTATTAATGAATATGAGGAAAAGTTGGCACAAGTCACGCAGTACAGGAACATGCAGACACACACACACACAGACAGACACAAAGACATATTAGGTCTAGGTGACCTAGGGGTCACCTAGACCCGAAGGACCATACAAGGGTTAAGTAAAAAAAATAGGCTATAGCTCAAAATTGTGTGAAACACAAGATTAGACTTTTGGATTTTTTGTGGCTTCTGTATTCTAATTTTGAACTCTACAACAATCAATATTTTTTAGAGCTCACTGTATTTACAGTATTTGCTATGTATATGACATAGTTTGAGTGAATCTTGTGTGCTTTGCTGTTAGCATGAAGTACGTCACCGACATCGCCACAATGCAGCGACACGTTTCCCGGCACAACCACAGAAACGAGGACGAGGAGAACATGCTGTCCATCGACTGCATGAAGATTTCCTTTGAATATGAGTATCCTTGGTTCTGCTGATGTCCTGTCAGGAGTTTAATCTATCATTTGACTTGACCCCCTCCCATCTCCTCTTTTTACAAAGGTCTCGTAGTTGTGCATTTGTTTGTATGTTCTTTGACCGTCTGCTTCAGCCTGCGTTTAACCCTCTACCAACACTGGACTCTTTACGACAGCATCTGTAATTCCTGCTACACGTCCTGCTATTTCAAGCTTTGGACGTTAAACGGACAGAAAAAACTCCAGGAGTTTCTGGCTGACATGGGGTAGGTACAACAAAGTCAGTGTCAACAAAACTTTTACCCTGTCTCTGAGGCCTGACATGTGTTGTTGTGTAACAGACTTCCTCTGAAACAAGTGAAGCAGAAATTTACTTCCATGGACATGACGATCAAAGAGAACCTAAGGGACGTGATTGAGGAATCTTCAAATAAATATGGGTA